AAATTAATTAGTAAACATAATTTACGAAAAGTAACCCGCCAAATTGGCTAGTGATTTGACAGCGTTCCCCGCCACAGCTGATTTTTACCCGCATTTGGCGGGTTGGCGGGTGTTAATTTCAAACCCTGGTCAGGATGTCAGCAAAGTGTCAAGTACAACATGGAAGTGATAAGTTTTACAAACACAACTGCCAAGGCTAAAAATGTTGCTGTTTTCCAAATATTATTACAGCATGTGTTAAAATTAACAAGATATAATCTCTGGTTCTTGATTCATAATATTCACATTCAGGTTACGGTTGAGAACTGAGTAGGCAGTTCACCTGTAACTCTAACACTACTGTCTGCATGTAATTTGCACTGTCTCTGTCTCAGACAGTCACTGTTCCTCGCTGTTTAGGGAGGTCAGAGGTCATGTAGATCTGAATAAACACTAGTCAAATCTCTGGGTACTGAAGTCACAGCTCTGTCTGATGCGACGCTCAACGATTCATTTACTGTCAGACACTGAGACGTGACCGTGGGAAGTTTTCCAGAACAGTGCTAAACATTCATAAATATGCACACAGAGTTAGATTTACATTAAAATTACCTGCAGCATTATCTTAACTATTTATACAGTTATTACCATAATGCATCAATATATAAAAAGTGAGATTAGACAGTTGGGTTTAGGAGTTCGGTTGAAATGTGCTAGTGTTCACACTAAGGCAACCCATTTTAATTTTTGAAAACCAACAGATCACCCAATATCATATTATTCAGCTCTTTAAGCTCATATATGTATTAATTATAGTGTCTTACAGCCATTTACATCCTCATATTCAGAGTGATTTCAGCTAGACAACACTCAGTATTTCTTGTTTTCTGGCTTCTGACTCTTTGTCCTCTGAGGGAAAAATGGCTCATGTTTGAATCTTTGCCCCAGGTTTTCCTGCATTTGAGACATGTTTAAACCTTGTTTTACCCTGAAGGGATCGCTTTCATGGACACACTTCATAAACCTTTTGTCCATCCTCCAGTTGCCTTTCTGTCTTGGCAATAACTGCTGGACGTCTTCCTGCTTTCAGCTGCAAAACAGCATGTCAAGGGCTCAGTGTAACGTTTCTTTAACAACCCCATGTTTGATTCAGCACAAAGTGAGGTGTTGATATTGTGAGGTCCATTGAAGAGCACGTTTGAGATAAATTCAGCACACTGATGTTCAGACAGCGTCCCGCAGCAGCTCTGAGCTCCACAGGCTGTGAAGATCATTGAGTTTAGTGTAATCAGCGCCTGCTGGCTGCTCGTACATTCGTGAACGCTGAACGGCGGGGATCTCGCAGGATTGAGAAAATACCCGTGTTTATGTAGTTAGACCTGGCCACATGAACCGTGTTGTTAGTTCACTTCAAACCGACATCTGATCATCTGGTGTTTTTTGGAGATTTATCAGTTTTTCCTTCATCCTTCACACATTTTCAGGCACAGCCGTGTCACATTAGACAACAAACTCAAACGCCTCCATGTGTATCGCTGCAGGGATTTTCACTCTGACATCCCTGTCGAATCTCCTGTGTGTCTGCTAGTCGTCTGATTTCTCATCACCTCCTGCCACAGTCTCAACTGTTCTCTTTAAATAGTGTAAAGATGTTTAAATGGTACTAGCATCTATAAATATCAGAATGAAGGGGAGGTAAACAGATGGGACATTATAGACTCATTATACATTGCTACTGCATGAATGGCTGCTAATGAGAGTAAAAAGTTGTGATAGAAATGCAGGAGCAGAAAACCCTCCTCCCCCGTCTGCTGGTCATGCTGTGGGTGGTCAAAGCCAAATCTCCCTGTGAGTCGGGCTTTAATGTCCATTAATGCAGCTTTCTGGAATGCAGCTCACCGCTTTTCTTGCTCTCTAACTTTGATAGAAAACTTCCAAGGCTGTTTATAGTTTAGACTTATAATGATATTCAGACTCAGATGTGATTCTGATGTGGTAAATGTGTAGATTATTAATGATTCACTTAACATTTACCAATCCAACTACATGTAAGATGAATTTGACAGCTTTTTATTATTTCCTTGTCGTCTAAATTGGTTCACGCTGTCAATTTGTTGACTAATGCTGTCGCAGATGGGTTTAATGTTTACAGCTGTGACAGATATATCATTATTTCTGTGTAGTAATTCTGGTGTGATTTATATGTTGACATTTGATGTGATTTAGTTGCCAAAGTTAAAAAAAATCGGTTTTGTCCCTCTTCACATCAGGAAGCTCATTAGTGAGATAAAAATGCACAGCGATGAGTTCAGGGATGGCAGTCAGAGCTAATTTGAATTCAGGAAAGTCATGTGACAACCAGTTTAATGAAGTTCAGGTGAAATGACTTTTCACTGTAGACTCCTGGGCTATGTAAATAGCATATATTTTTCCAGAGATTTTTTCATCTCAACTCTCTCTCATGTTCTTATTCCTGGTGTTATTCTGCAGATTTCTTGCAGTGACGCAGTTCTCACCGACTCACGCTAGAAAGGCCTTTCCGTGTTTCGACGAGCCCATCTATAAAGCCACATTCAGAGTGAGTCTGAAACACGAGAGCTCGTATCAGTCGCTGTCTAACATGCCAGTGGAGGCCTCGACATCTGACGAGGACGGATGGGTGACCAACCATTTCTCCAGGACGCCCCGCATGTCCACGTACTACCTGGCCTGGGCCGTGTGCAACTTCACCTACAGAGAAGCAGTTACAGACAGTGGAGTTGTGGTGAGTCGCATTTAAAGCCCCTAAAACTCAAAGTTCGAAACAGTAAACTGAGATTTTATTATTCCACAACTGCAGTGACCCTTACTTGATTTAAAAGGTTCGTTTGTCACTTCTTGGGTCTGCTGGGGAAATTTTAGACACCTCTTTGTTGGCTCGTTTATATCTTTTTGGTAGTGTATGAGTACATATATTTAATTAAATACTGAAAAGTATTGATAAAACAGTTTAATCTAATTAGAAATTGATTACCCAATATTTGCACAAGCTATGCTTTTCTGTTCATTAGCATATTGAATAGCTTAGCAACATGATAACGTCTCATTTGTAGAACGCTATTGTTTATATACTGTAGTTGAGGGTCCATCTCGTTTAGGATGCTCCCTTAAAAGGCATCTGCCAAGACAGCAGGTTTTGGAACAGAGCTTTTATCTTGCTCACAGTGGATATGTTTATATGAAGCTTACTGTAAGTTTATATAGTCAATATAATGGTTACACAGTGGATGTGCTGTAAATGGAAAGGGTTGTCTCCACTAACATTAGTCCAGTGTCTACAACGTCATATAATTGCTTTTAAAAGGATAGTAGTCATGTGCAACACGCATTCACTTATGCTCGTGTCCAGGATTGTGTTCATGACAAACTCTTCTAGGTTTTATATATCATATGAACATGTTTTATGTGAATTATAGCAATTAAGATAATATTTGCTGTATCACTTTCATCACATGCACTTAAATGTTATTTTTTTGGCGCTGAATCATCACAGTCTAAGCGGCATCATCTGTCTGCCAACAGAGAGACATGGTTTATGCGTCGTGTTACTGATATCACGTTCAGTCAAAGCCCTGTTGTCATAGTAGACACTTCCTGACGGCTTCCTCAGTGGTTCCTGCTGTGTGCCCTTGGCCGGCCTCCTCCTCATATTAGTGTAATTACTCTGATCTCCTTCAGCATGACCGCGCTCTCCTTTATATCACTGCTGACTGTAGTGTGTGCTTCTATCTGGGGCACTTATACCCACTCTGCGGCTTGTAGCGGTTAGCCGCGAGCGAGCAGCCCCCATCAATCACATTAAAGCGGCTGGGCAGCCCCCTCGCACCATTCATCATAACTATTCGGCTGTGCGGAGCAAGAGGAAAGATCGTGGGAGAGGAACGTTGCAGAGGAGAGTGGAGTTATTACTCTGGGTTTATGGGGAAACACTGATCTACCACACACACACACACACACGTGTAAAAATCACATCAGACTCTGCAGAGGTTGGTTGGGCGTAATATATTACAGGTTTTAAGGCTTTAGATGAGGGGTCTCAATCCCAAATTACCTGAGCCAGGTGGTGTTCTCCATTGGGGGGCAGTTGAACAGTGTTACTTTGGGTTATTGCAACAATGAATTTTAACTATGTACATTTATTGCCACAGTTACACAGTTATTAATGCATTCGACTCATCTTTTCCTCACATCCAGCATAATGCTCCGCATGTTTAGTAGAGTAATGATGCCTGAGATTATGTTTCCTGAGAACCGCAGGCTTATTTGTTGTCGTCATCTAACCTACAGCTGTGTCTTTATATTTGTACTTTAGGATTTAATGAGCCATGATGAAAAAAAAAAAAATGAGGCTACTGTTTAACAATCCTTTACAGTAAAATAAGTACATAAGTCCAAACAAAAATGCAAAAAATGAAAAATGATTAGTGAGATGGGTTTAAGGATAAACTAATAACAACAGAAGTGCCGTTTGGAACTTTTTTATGGCCTGTTATCTCTATATTAATGACAAAATTACATACTATTCATAATACTATTCACTATACATGCACATAATTGTGCAGGATTCATTAGTGTGTTTTTCCTGAAGAAAAAAGGTTTGTTGTCATAATCTTTCATCCAAATGTAATAATTCTGTCTGCCTCTGAAATTGCTTTTCTTGTAATGTAAACGAGGTTGCATAGGTGGAGAAAAATAACAACATCCAGTAATATTATAGCCTAACATGTTTCCATCCATTTGTTCAATTAAAACCTGATGGATAGAACCAAGTTTCACTTGTTTTGTTTGTTTATTGTCTCTGTTTGCTTACATTCTTTTTTTCTTTTTAATGCATTAATTTGTTTTTGTTTGTTTATTGGTTGTTTGGATGTTGGTTTTGTTTGTTAATGGTTGCATTTGGGTTATTGTTCTGTTTAGATCTGGGTTCTGTTTTAAATGTTCTGTTTGTTTTTGTCTCTGCTTGAGTGTTTGGTATTTGGTTCTGTTTGAATGTTGGCTTTGTTTATATCTTGGTTCTATTTGTTTAATGGTTTTGTTTAGATTTTGGTTCTGTTAGTTTAAAAGTTTTTTGTTTGTTTTTGGCAATTTAGTGTTTGGCATGTTTGTTTTTTGGTTCTGTTTGTTTGTTGGTTCTGTTTAAATCTTGGCTCTATTTGTTTAATGGTATTGTTTGGATCTTTGTTCGGTTAATTGAAAGATTTTATTTGTTTGTGCATTTTTGGCTTTGCTTGGGTCAGGGTGTTTGGCATGTTTGTCATTTAGTTCTGTTTGGATGCTATTTTTAGTTGTATTTGTTTGTTTAATGGTTTTGTTTTGATGTTTGTTTTGTTACTTAATACCTTTTTTCTCTCTCTCTTTTCACTTGGGTATTGTTTATTGGTTCTGTTTGTTAAATTATTTTGTGTGGATCTTTGTTTGGTTTTAAATTATTTTGTTTGGATCTTTGTTTGGTTTTTCTATGCTTGGGTGTTTGTTTATTGGTTCTGTTTGTTAATTAGTTCTGTTTGTTTGTTGGGTCTGTTTGGGTGTTGGACAGCTCATTCAGTTTGATGGGAATTTAAGTGGTTCAGCTCATTGGTTTAGAGGTGCTTCGTTTGGCTACAGTCTTAAACATTCCCTCACAAAATCTACTCCATTAACATGAACATAACTGCTAATTGTTGATTTTTATTGGTTGTTCTGCTGTAAAATCAGATTGTAACTTGAATGCTCCATTAAGATTAATATAACTTGCAATTTTGAATTAATTCAATTTAACTGTTATGTTCCGTTCCTCACATTATGTCCAGTTATGACCAAACCATTTCAGATACAACCCTATATGCTCTGCAACCTCTGGGAGTGATGTCTAAGCCACAGAAAAATGTATTTCTCGAACCAGACAGTAAATAATCGTGCCGTCTGTGGCCCGCTCTCCAAAATGATTTGAAGCCTGAGCTTGGATCGTTTGTTTAATCATGGATCGTTTCTCTTTACCAGCCTACAGGGTTTAGTCAACCTGCTGCTGTGTGTGAATAATGCTGAGTCTTCATCATCACACACATCTGTTTTGGTGAACGTGACCTTTGTTTCGCCTGTATTGACCATTGGACTCTCTCTAGTGCGTCCCGTATTACAATTTGACCCTCAGGCCCTTCAGACTCATGATTTCTGACACATAAAAATACTAACACTCAACAGAGTTTCCCTTTCTGACCAGGTGTAATTTGAATTATTTAAACTGCTAAAATAAGAGAAAGAGGTTAGTTTGTTTAATGGTTTTGTTTTGATGTTTGTTTTGTTACTTAATACCTTTTTTCTCTCTCTCTTTTCACTTGGGTATTGTTTATTGGTTCTGTTTGTTAAATTATTTTGTGTGGATCTTTGTTTGGTTTTAAATTATTTTGTTTGGATCTTTGTTTGGTTTTTCTATGCTTGGGTGTTTGTTTATTGGTTCTGTTTGTTAATTAGTTCTGTTTGTTTGTTGGGTCTGTTTGGGTGTTGGACAGCTCATTCAGTTTGATGGGAATTTAAGTGGTTCAGCTCATTGGTTTAGAGGTGCTTCGTTTGGCTACAGTCTTAAACATTCCCTCACAAAATCTACTCCATTAACATGAACATAACTGCTAATTGTTGATTTTTATTGGTTGTTCTGCTGTAAAATCAGATTGTAACTTGAATGCTCCATTAAGACTAATATAACTTGCAATTTTAAATTAATTCAATTTAACTGTTATGTTCCGTTCCTCACATTATGTCCAGTTATGACCAAACCATTTCAGAAACAACCCTATATGCTCTGCAACCTCTGGAAGTGATGTCTAAGCCACAGAAAAATGTATTTCTCGAACCAGACAGTAAATAATCGTGCCGTCTGTGGCCCGCTCTCCAAAATGATTTGAAGCCTGAGCTTGGATCGTTTGTTTAATCATGGATCGTTTCTCTTTACCAGCCTACAGGGTTTAGTCAACCTGCTGCTGTGTGTGAATAATGCTGAGTCTTCATCATCACACACATCTGTTTTGGTGAACGTGACCTTTGTTTCGCCTGTATTGACCATTGGACTCTCTCTAGTGCGTCCCGTATTACAATTTGACCCTCAGGCCCTTCAGACTCATGATTTCTGACACATAAAAATACTAACACTCAACAGAGTTTCCCTTTCTGACCAGGTGTAATTTGAATTATTTAAACTGCTAAAATAAGAGAAAGAGGTTAATGAATTAATATAAAGCAGCATATTTCATTCATAACAGCAGCCATGATTAAATTCACTGGTTTAGTGTCAGTCAGTTTTTATTTACTGTATCTTATCATTAAAATGTTCTTGCAATATCTAATCAAAATTCAACACCACTATACTAAATATGCTTATTACATATTCATGAAATTACTCAGAATGATCAAAAAGCATGTTTAGTGCATTTACTGGACAAAATCATGATTTTAGCTGTAGAATACAAATGCCTTGAAACGTCTATGTCGGTTTCAAAATTAAAATATCCATTATACCAGCATGAATGTCCATCCTGATCCAGGCTGAATTATGCTAATTTGATTCTGGTTGAGCTGTTAAACCAGACTAACTGGTCTACACAACACAAGCTAGTGACTAGCTAGATGTTCTAACAAGGAATCAAATTGTGTAAAACTAGAAAATCATTTAGAGAAATGAATTGTAAAGCGCCTGAAGTATCTGACACAGTCAAACATATATAGAATAATAACTCAACAGGTTGTTAATATCAGGTCAAGTGCTGAATGTGTTGACTGAAGCTTCATTTTTTCACCAGAAAGAGCTTGTTAGTGGATCAATGTCGGAGAGACTCTCTATTAAAGTTCAATTAACCCCATTTAAGTCTCTGTCAAGCTGCCTTCAACAAAACCAAACAAACAAACAAATGAAGCAGTCAGATTGAACAATCTCCACACCGGCTGATTAATGAAGCGTCTCTTGATTGTCAACTTGAGTGCTTTGTCTAATTACAGGTTGTTTTAAAATCACATTGATTTGATTGAACTTTGAATCATTTCCACAGCCCTAAGTGCCGCCCATTCATCTTTATATCAGACACAGAGCTGATCGATACACCAGCAACATGTGAGGTAAACAACACGTAATTCAATGTGCATTGCTGCCAGGCTCTGAAACAAAGCCTTTCCTGCTGCTTGTTTTGCACTGTAACTCTGTTAGTGTAGGAGGACATTCATTCTGACTAGATGGATGCCCGTTCAGAAAGCCGTGCCGTGCATCAGCCTTCGGCTAAAAGAGTCCAAGATCATTTTTACTGTGGGAATATATTTCCCACAGAGCCACACCTCACACACTTTCCCTCTCACACTTTCTCTCTCACATGCATATAATAGTTCAGAATAATGCAAATGCTTTGTCTTTGCTTTTTCATGGAAATCTAATTTGTTTCCAAAGACAAATGGCTAAAATGCTATTTTATCAAACAGCTGGCTTACAATTGATGGAAATAAGCAAATTTTAAACATAAATGTATGAAGGAGTTTTCAGCAGCTACAGCCCAATAAGATTATGGTTCATGAAAGTGCAGGCAGTTCATTTAAAGGTGCCATAACGCCAGTAGAACAGGCTGCCTACTTTTCAAGTGGCCTTGGTTCTGGAAGTGTATATATATATTTTTTTTTTTCCCCCCAGTCAATAAGGATTTTAAATGAGTTGTTCAATAAAAGATTAGGCTGTGTATCAAACCAACCCACTTTGAGGTGAATCAAAAATGACGAACTTCAATTTGATTTTGAGTATGTGAAAACTGGAAGGTAGGCTACATCTTCTATGGGTGAATGAACTACTCATCCCATGAAGCATTGCAAATCAGAAATAGTGGTACAAAATGTTCATTATATATATATAAAAAACTATATATTGAGTTTTAATTAAGTCTTACTATTTTTATGTCATTCTCAGTGGTTTAATGTGGGGGACAATCTCTGCTAAACTGATTTCCATTTCCTGTGCCGAAGTGACTTCTGTGATTGTAGGATCTCTCTTCAGGGTATTATGGGTAGTGTATTTTTTAACTAGAAATTCTGTAATTAAAAACAGTGACTACTGAAGCTCATCTCCCTGTAGTCTGTGAAGAAAATGAAAGGATTTTAGCTTGTGGAGTATAGGTGACATTTATACTTTTTAATGCCTTGCTCAGTGGATGAGGGGTGGAGAAAAGTACACTTGAAAGACAAATGCAAAATTCACAAGCCAGATGAAGGCATTTGGCAGATTATGTTCACAATGGATTACCCTTGGAACTTAATCTTTCAAGTCCATAACTGTTATCCTTGAGGGAATTCAGGTTAGGAATAAACACAGAGCCATATAAGAGTCATTCATTCAGCACCTGAAACACTTTGACTTCTGTTCTCTCTCCTCTTATGTTGCGTTGTCATAGATTCGGCTGTACGCCAGACCTGACGCCATCCAGAGCGGATCGGGGGACTACGCTCTGCACATCACCAAGAGAGTTTTTACTTTTATTGGTGCAAAGATGAGTTGTGGTGATATTTATTTTGTACAACATTTGCAACTGCTTTTTATCACTTAATTAGAAGCACCACAAATTAAAATTGTCATGTTATAGGGACTACTGAACAGACATTTAAAAGTTGATTTTAAAATGCAAAGTATTTAAAATTTAAATTAAAATAAAGCTATGTAAACACTTGCATTTTTACAACACTACAAGTGTGTCCCATCAGTTAATGAAAAGTTCGACACACACTTGTGGTCTACATGCTCACTTGAACACTTGGGGTCACTGTATTGACGTGTGTGCTACTGTATGTTGTTGTAAGTGTGCGTGCGCTTGTGCTGGACTGCCTTACATCAGACTCTCTCAGTGCCAGTATTTCGCTCCATTGGGTTTCTGTCAGTTCTCTGTATTCATTTGAATACAGTCATCAATCTCTCTGGGCTTCTGTCTGTCTGTCTTTCACTCTCCTCCCCCGCCTGCTCACTTCCTCTGTAAATGTGTGTGTTTGTGCATTTGCGTGTAAGTGTGTATTTGAGTGTGCAATGCATGTGATATTTCCTTACTCTCTTAAACGCTCTATGGGAAGCTGTGTTATGGAACATGGCAGTCGATATGCTAAAGTAGTTTGCAGCAGCTGATGACCATCTTAGACCAGCAAGCATGTACCAAAACACAGTGGCCAGCTTAAGCTGGATTTTCCAGCAGGGTTTTTTAAGGACTTTAAATCTATAACTAACTAAATCTGTAATTAAATCTTAAATATTTAGTGGTAGTGAGGAAAATGTAGCACTCTTGGTAATGTTAGTATGTGAAAAAGAAGTGTGCTTGTGCATGTGCACTTGTAGTGTGCTTCAAATCGTAGATATTTAAAATTTAAATTAAAATAAAGCTATGTAAACACTTGCATTTTTACAACACTACAAGTGTGTCCCATCAGTTAATGAAAAGTTCGACACACACTTGTGGTCTACATGCTCACTTGAACACTTGGGGCAAATACAGGAAATACGTCATATAAGTGGTCAAGTGCAAAGACCGCAAGTGTGGGTATTTGGACAAGGCAAATATATATTATGAAAAAAAGTGCACTTTGTAAAAATGTCATATTAAAAGTGTTACTTTAAAGTATATTTTAAGTCATTGTTTTGATAATCTTTTTTCACGATTTAAAGAAGTACACTTATTTAGATACATGCTACATCCTAAAGCACATTAAAACACATTAATTATATTAAATATAAAAGTAATTATGATAATTTTAGCCTGCAGTGTGTTTGATATTACATTTAAAGTTAATATATTTTAAATGTGCTAAATTGCAACTTCATCATTACAAATGTGCAATTACAAATATATTTAAATGGCATACAAATTTCAATAGAAATGACATTATAGTATATTTCAGTTTACCATAAATGCTTGTCGGTACATTCGACAATGTAGTTTAAACATATTTCAAGAACAATTAAAATAATTACATATAACTTACATATAAAGATGTAGGCTACATAAGTTGGTCAAAAAAGCTCTACAAAGTTTAGCCAACTGCATTTAATATAAATTTAAATTATAATACACTTTCATTTAATTCTAAATTACATAATTAAGTGTATGAAAACAGTACATTTAGCTTGCAATATATTAAAGGCAAGGCAAGGCAAGGAAAGTGATTATAAAAATGATTATACATAAAATACAGTGCAATCAGTTCGGACGTCGCACAGTGCTCATTCAATAAATGCACAGTTAAACAGATGAATTTTGAGTCTAGATTTAAATGTGGTTTCATAGCTCTATGCTCATACTGAATGTCAACAACATTTTGTCTATTTTCATTTGTGAATTTTAGCAGAGACCACGTTGACACTTAAATAAAAGACAACTTACTAATGTTTTAGCACATCTGGGCCCGTATTCATGAAAAATCTTAGTGCTAAGAGTTGCTCGTAGTAACAAAATTCTACGAAAATTCTTAGAAATGTGGGTGTTTCCTCTTAAAATTAAAGAAAAGATCCTAGTAAAGAAACATGTAATTCAGAAAGCATCTTAACCCTTAAAAGAGGTCTTAAGGTCCAAAATTGTTAGGAGTACGGACGAGGACTTTTAAGAGGCTTAAGAGTTTCTTTAGCAGTGGAGAAAATGGACGAAACATGTAGAGGGAGAAGAAATGTGTTGCACAGTGCATGACAGTGAGTTAATAAGACGCTACACATTAGATTGTGCAGGGATTATGTTTGTGACCGATCTTATTAGAGATAAAAGAGGTCTTAAGGTCCAAAATTGTTAGGAGTACGGACGAGGACTTTTAAGAGGCTTAAGAGTTTCTTTAGCAGTGGAGAAAATGGACGAAACATGTAGAGGGAGAAGAAATGTGTTGCACAGTGCATGACAGTGAGTTAATAAGACGCTACACATTAGTGTAGCTAATGTGTATAATCCGTGCAGGGATTATGTTTGTGACCGATCTTATTAGAGATACGCTAACATCTCCGACACTGCGCAGATATGTCATAGCGCCAGAAATGGAAGTAATCACTACATTAACTTCATTAACATATTTGGCAACTGGAAAAATGCAACTATGCAGCAGTGATGATTTGGGTTGGTCACAACCTTCTATAAGCAAAGTGACAACACAAACAATTGTGTCGCTGTTCATTTCCTATAAAATACGTTATGACAGCATGGTAAATAAAAGATAAAGAATATATATACATATATAATGTGTGTGTGTGTGTGTGTGTGAGAGAGAGAGAGAGAGAGA